ATGCCAGCTCCACTCCAGCAGATCTCTTATGGGGTCTCTGGATATATATACCCACTATATTTGTGTTCACTCCTCCTCCTCCCCCCCCTCCCCCATAAATATTGCTGTTTCTTTCTTTAGAAAAAGATTCTAGCTTTTATCTTGATCGCAAAACCAAACAAACAAAAATATAAAATCTTTAAAACCAGCACAGTTAAGAAAATAAACAGAGAGGAATTTTTTCCTGGTATAATGCTGGTCAGGTTCACAGTAGGTTTGAAATTCCTCTGAACTGTTATATAGGATATACCTATATAAGCACATGGACTGTAGCATAGCCACTCCTATAACTCTAAAACAGTAGGACATTCCTTTGTGGTCGTCGTACTATTACACTGGCACTTCGCTTTTTTTCCCCTCATTAAATATTACTTTGACATTTGAAGGTTTTAGTGATGGGTTAACTTCAAAAGACGTGTAGTTTCAAATAACTACCTGATAGTTCTGCTTGTTAGCGCTTATTCAATTATTATCAGACTGATTAAGCAATTGGAAATATGTTGGTTATATCTTTTTTGATGCCAGCCATTTTGTGAAAGCAACTCAGGAATTCTTAGTACATAGCTGAGCTGTAGCTGTACTTCTGTAATGGATGCATTATCCTATGCTAAAAATACAATCAAAAGTTCAGAATGGGGCAAGTACCTTTTTAACCATTTTAACCATTTATTTGATTAGACACATCTATAGGGTACAAAGGATGATCTTGTGTTTAAAGGACTAAGTAGAACTGGATTCAATTCCTTCCCATGCCAAAGACCTCCTAGATGACCTAGGACAAGTCACTTAATTTATTTGGGCTTCATTTCCCTATTATGAATTGTAAATTAATCAATGTTTCTGATGTGTTCTGCTCTGACTGGGGGAGGGGGGGGGCATATAGGTACCTAGATGCATAAATGGCTTTCTAGTTCATTTTTACTTGTACATGCTCTTCACAAGTAACCCTTTACTATTACTTGTAGAAAAGGAATATAGCAACAGCTTGATCTACTTTTCTAGAAGAAACCCAGGGTTTCTATAATATTCATTTTGAAACTTTTCTGTCAAATTGGCTAATAAGGCCTGGATGGCACAGGCAGATTGTAAGTGTAATGTGCATAATTTAGTAGAGCAGTTAACATTCTTTTAATTATATGGCTGCTGCTCGTCTGTTTTTGTACAGGTTGTTTTTTTCCCCCCACAGCTCAACTACATAGTTGTTCCTTTTAGCCACAGTCACCTAAGGTCAAGCTGTACCCTGCTAGGGAGATGAATTGCAAACAAGTCTGGCTAAACCATGTGACTTCAGTTTGTCCCTGTTATTAATCCTCCCAAGTTCTGGGTCTGGAGTCTGGCAGTGCACATAACAGTAAACTTTATACCTCAGGAGTTCATGCTCTCCCCAACTGGAGGATGAGCGTCTGGTTAACCCCTGCTATCTCTTCGGAGAATACAATACAGAAGCTACATAAGATTTATTTGCACAATGCAGGGGCCCATGCAACCTTCTGTAGAAGACAGACTAACTCTTTTCTGCAAATCATAATTTAAGCTGATTGAATTCCCGTACTTGCAATGAAAGGTTCTTCATTTAACTCTTATTAATAGATATTATTTCTGTCACAATTAGTATTGGCATGGGCCTGATCTTGCTCTCTTTAAGTCTATGGGAATTTTGCCAATGTACTTGCAAATTTTTCTTTGGTAGGCAACTGGTCTGGTTCTTCCAGGAGTGGGGGGGAGTCGGGTGCTGTCTGAAATCTATCAACTATCTGAAGAATGTTTATTCTTAGCTCTGCTTCTAGTTAATTTGCTTCCTCTCCCTCTTATATTTTCACAACACTCAGCTTCTATATTGGCCTGCTGTGTGTAAACTACACTGGATGGAAGCAGGGTATAGCAAATTCAGAAAACCCAGCTGGAACCAAAAGAAATGTAGATAAAAACAAACTCTGGCCTCAGTTCTGCAATCTGATCCGTGCAGGCAGATCCCTACACCAGTGTGAAACCCCCACTGACTGCAGGCGGACTCCATGTGGACATAAAGGCCTGCCATGCAGCTTCCCACTGAAATCAATGAGGGCAGGACTCAGAGTCTGCCTGTGTAGATCAGATGGCAGGATCTAGGGTGACCAGATGTCCTGATTTTTATAGGGACAGTCCTGATTTTTGGGTCTTTTTCTTATATAGGCTGTTATTACCACCCCCCCCCCCCCATCCCTACCTCTACCCCGGTCCTGATTTTTTACACTTGCTGTCTGGTCACCCTAGCAGGATCAGATAAGGTCTCAGATAGGAAAATGCAATATGATGATTAATGTATAGATGCAATGCACTAACATTGTCATTTAATGCTTCATAATTGCATAGTATCAATATTATGAAACTGGATCAAGATAGTTATTTACACCAAGGGTGACAAAACCGACTCATTATCACAGATTCTAGTCTTGGTACTGCAGCTCTTTCATTATATTGTTTTACAAACACTTTTGAATAGGGGAAGTTTTAAATAGATCTGCTTCCTGTTAGGGAAGGGCTATGTGCCTTTGCTATAGTAAAATCACCATGAATGATTTCATACATAACAAAGCCACTTCGGTGGACAAAGTACAGCTGTGAAACAAACTTACCTAAAAAAACCTAGTAAGATTTCTTCTTTTATAGCAAATGTAAAACTGATTCCAAAAAATGGTCTGAAAATGCTTGATTTAATAAATATAAACATAAAAATGCTGAAAGATGCCTGTCAGTTATTTTTGAAGGAAGGGAATGGGATGAGGTATTGAAATAGGATTTATTTTATTTTTTGCCTGAAAATAGGAAGCTCCAATGAATATTTCTGATTAAACTTTTTCTTCGCAGTACTGGTAGTTGTCTCTCAGATTGTATGTAACTCATTCTCTATGTGCATGCATCTCTTAGCAGATCAAGAGTGTTAACCTCACACATTTTGTTACTGAGAACTGCAAAAATAACTGGTTCTATTACCTTAAAAGCCTGAATTGACTTTTAAACCCCCCTAATGTTACATTATTTGACTATTCTATCTCTCTTGTTGCAATCTTTTTTCTCATTAGAACATTTGTAAATAGATTACTTATGAAAAAGACAGCAAACGAACATGTAATAAGATCAGTCCTAGTCCATAGCAGATAAATGTTTTAAAATAGCTATCCCCCCCCTTTCATTACTGCAGATGTGTAGTCTAGCTGCCATTTATTTGTGTATATATCTGTAAGAGTACAAATCTCATCCTGAGAGGATGACACTCCTGTATCTACTTACATATGTGACTTTTCCTCTGCTCACTTTACAGAGGAGATGTGTTTCAAACCAGTCACTTGTATTAAATGTAAACAAATGAAATGCTTAGTGAAACTGGCAGCAATAAAAATCCCCCAGTCAAGAAATTCAGAAGTTATTGTTTGCATGGAAACATCAGCTTAGATGCATTGGACATCCTGCATAATTATGGTAGACATTTAATAACACAAACAGTAGCATATTAAGCTACACAGAGAGAAAACCAGGAATAAATACTACCACACAAGTGCAGTGTGGACAAGCTAAGGTTGCACTAAGCAACAGAGTGTCCTGTGGCACCTTTAAGACTAACAGAAGTTTTTGGAAAGGAAGATGATATCTGTCTGTATTTGTGCAAGTTTCTTCATGAGTAGGGTTACCATACGTCCGGATTTTCCCAGACATGTCCGGCTTTTGGGGGCTCAAATCCCCGTCCGGGGGGAAATCCCCAAAAGCTGGGCATGTCCGGGAAAATCGGGAGGGAGGGAGGGAGGGCTCGGCCGGGG